CGGGATAAAGAGGTGTGTCGAGCAGTTTATGCCGGAGTACCCAAAGGGACAACTGTGTTTGGTCTTGCGGGTACCTTGCATGAGGAGGTCGCGAAGGAGCTTGGATTGCCGTTCGTCGCCGAGTTGTATGGAGATGTCAAGTATAGCAAAGATGGAACGTTGGTCATTGATCGGAAGAAGAAGTACGTTGTGTCAACAACTACATTCACGCTAACATGCTCACCGCATACAGGCCGTGGCATCCAGACGAGACAAGGAAGCACGTTCAAAGTCAAGTCGAGAATGCGACTGTTACCGCCGTTACGGGTGAGGAGGTGAAACTCCCCATAGGCGACCACGAGGTCTCGTTGTGTTGTCATTCTGATTCACCTGGAGCTGTGGAGATTGTGAAGGCGGCGAGGGAGATCGTTGATCAATTCAACAACAAGCACTTTGGGAAGTCTTGAAGAAGTCTCGTATGGAAAATGTCTCTCCAATTTACGAATGTCATATGAGAGCTACAAAAGGTTTTTGCTTCAACATGAGTAGTCATAGTAGAATACCGATACGAGCATCGCCATGCAACTTGAACATTAAGTAGATCTCGAACTTAACTAACACGATAGCATTTGGAAATTGCAAGGCTCTTGGCACGCGTTGGTCATATTTGAGGAGTATTGATAAATCTATTCACACTGAACTCCACTACCTATTTCCTAACCCAAGTCATTCGAAGGCCCACGCTCCTATTTCATGCATACATTTTCAAAGAATTCAAATAAGATCCAAGCACCCTCGATTACATGCCGAACATGGGCCATGGATGCATCAAGACGCCCTATATGCAAGTCGGTCATCGATCTTCCTCTCGTTTTGCTTCCACATTACGCAACATATCTGCCCTCTCGTGTGCGTAAGCTTTCATGGGGTATAATCGAACAACAAAATCTGTCGGTCGAGTGCTATATTGGTGACCGCCAGTGGGCATATAATGAGCCCATAGTTACCGTTCGCCTCGGCTGTGGGTAGTCGACTGGGCAAATTGCGACTCGTAGAGTGCAGCCTATGCGACTCTCGCGGCATTTTCCAATACGATCGCACTCAGTCACAGCGTCGTCATGGCTGTGGTATCTGAAGGCCAGAATGGCACATGAAAGCCTTTACTGCACTAGTCGTGCTCCGCCATAGCTGGTCGTATCCTTATGAATCGCTTGCATCGGCCATGGTCACGTCACCTGCACCAGTATCCTGAACCAGTGGCGATGTTGCAGGAAGGATGGCTGATCGCGGTCGGTTGTATTCGACGTCCAGATGATCGGGCATGCTCGCTGGGGTGGAGGATCGCGAGTCGAAATCCTCTTCGGCAGGTGGTGAGAAGTCCCACACCTAACCACGTTAGCATGTCATTCTGGTGTGATTGTGCGCAATTAACTTACCTCCATAATGGTGCGACCGCCCCGGCTGGCCATGATAACAGCCTTTTCTTCCTCGAATACGACTCTCCAGACAGCCTCGGCAGGGCTACTCAACTCTCGTACGGGAACACCAGTCTTGAGATCCCAGACCTTGACGCGACCATCGCTGCCACCGCTGACTATCCTGGTGTTGTCAAACTGTAGACTCGTAACGCTGTTGTCATGGGCAGCTAATCGGTGAATAGCCTGATATGTTGCGAGGCTCCACACGCGGACCGAGCCGTCTGATCCACCAGTAACAAGGATATCGTCACGCATTTGAAGTTGTCCGACGAGCGAGGTGTGGCCTTGTAGCACAGCCAGGCATTTGCTACACGAGAGAGTTAGTTTTCGATAATATTGTGGTACGCAATCGGACTTACCCATCGTTGGGATCCCATATCCGGACGCTGGTGTCCAAACTACCTGTCGCAATCTTCTTTCCGTCGAAGGCGATCGCATAGATCTGACTAAAGTGACCAGTGAGTGTGCGCAGACACTTGCCCTCGGATATGCTCCAGATCTTCGCTGTGGTGTCGTAGCTGCCGGACACAACGATATCGCCGTGTATTTCGAGGCATCGGACGCTAGCCTGGTGACCAATGAGCACATGCTTGCATAGACCCTTCTTGAGGTCCCAGATGCGAAGTGTGGTATCCCTTGACCCAGATATAGCCGTGTTCGCATCGGACATCTTCAGACATCGGACTGTCGAGGTGTGGCCGCGGAGGGTAAACTGGGGAAACCTAGCAATATCTGTTAGCTATGATGATCGCGTAGTGTGTAGAAAAATCGTACCCAGTCGCAAGATTCCACACGCGCACGTCGCGATCGCATCCACCGCTGACCAGAAGATCACCCCAAGGCACCATGGCCCATACGCCCATGACGTGTCCCTGGAGCGTCTTCTGGTGATCGCCTACTGTGTCGAAAACATGTATCTTCGCATTGTCGAGCGCAACCACAATGTACTTGTTCGTCAGATGCAGACTGGTTACTACACCCTGATCTGGGGTAATCTGCCGCGCGTCGCATACTCCTCCATTCCGCCATGCCGTCTCAACCATGTATCGTTGCTTGAAATGCGATCGGTATGTGGTAGCCTGCTGTTTCCGCTGGGATGGCTTCCTCTTAGCGGCTCGATCGAGGCTCTGCGTCCGGAGACCCTCAGCGCCGCCAGTTGATGATGGGCCAACTTCGACGTGTTCTCTCTCGGTGACGTCTTCTATCCTGGGTGCGCGCTCGTCGTTCTGCCACCATGATTTTGCGTCGGTATCCTCCATCTCATCGTTTGCGTCATCCTCCTCGATCCTCTCTTCTCTCGACAGAGCCCTGAAGGAGTACTTCTGGCACAGCAACCGCCAGGCACTGTCATCGTTGACGAGTTCGCGCCACTTCTTGGACACTTGCGACGCCCGAGCGAGGGTGGTGGGGTCGTCGACGCATTCTAGAATCTGTACGATGTGTCAGCGATCTCGGCGATAGAAGTTTTCGGTACGGAACCCACCCTTAAGCATAGTTCGGTGGGGAGGACCATGAAGGGGTCCTTTTTTAACCTGGGGCTGACAAACTCGGCCACGAAGCTCAACTCCTGACTGTCGCATAAATTCAGCAGCTCTCCCAGCAATCGCATCCGCTCCGCCCTGTTCATATCGCCAAACTGCGCTCGTATGCTCTTGATGTCGCCATCTTCGTGTTCGGCTGCGGTGCTCCAGTCGGGCACTCGCTGGGTCGGCGTAGGACTGGGCGCCGGTGTAGGCGGTGAAGCAGGCGCCGAGGGAAGGAGATTGTGCGGTATGGTCGAACTCAAGGGACTCTGAGGTGTGATTATGGGCCGTGGTGCCCCCGATCGAGACATGCGGCCGGGCTTGCGCGGGTGTGGTGATGTGTACATGGTGGAGCGCGAAGAGGAGGCTGTAGCGGTGGCAGAGGCGGCCATGTCGGTATCCGAGTCTTCAGTCTGCGGCCCTGGAGCATCTCGGTCTTCCCGGACGGGTGTGAAGTAGTCGGACGAGTCCATGACGGAGGTCCTGCAGAGTTCGGATGCGGTATGGTGTTCCCTGTATGGCACGGCGCCCTCTGTGTAGTAGCAGGGGAGAAAGCGACGGGGGATTCAGGCGGGTGTATACGTCGTCCAACAGGGCGCAACTATGGAGAGGATCGCACTTGGAGAAAGGGAAGGAGGTCTGCGGAGGTTTCGAGTGGGTAGGCGCGACTGGGTGACGCCGGCGGCCGGCCAAGACATCACTCAGCCCTGGAACCTCAGACGTCCATTTCCAAGCTTCACATCACCATCCCTGCATATGCACTTGAGACGACTGAGCCTAGTTTGCCTGTAAAATCTCCTGTGCAGCATCTTGAGTGCAGGCCATAATTAGACGCCCGTCGTCAAACGCCCCAGGGGGTCAGGTGCAGGCCATGTTTCATGCATTGTATTGTCTCTGCGAACGCCAAACCGCCATGGTTCCCTCGACTCCAACAAGCGCAAAACAAATGGTTGAGACCCAATTCCTCGAGTACTCCGTAGTACCGAGCCGTCTAGCTGTCTGATAATCGATGTCCAGCTGCCGTCACCTGTCACCCAGAGAATTGCACCGTTGTACGCCTCAGGCGTAGTGCAACACCACCTAAGCACCCATTTGCACGGCGCTTAAAGTCACGACGGTCACGAGCAGGATTTCATAGTCACAAGAGACCCTTGTTCAGACTCAAGAACTCACATGTCATGGCGGTCACGGCTTGCACCTCCTTTTTGCTCAATGCTTAGCTAGCACAGTCTGAACACATTATAGGGTGTGCACGGTTCCCGTCGTAAAGGCTCGATCGATCGCCCTAAGTTCGCCATGATGTTTCCAGCTCTCAAACACCTTACTTTGGTACCTCTTCCAAGGTTCGGTCGGATGAGCCAAACTATCACCTCTACTCTTGAAGCTATGTCATGTTCGATGATGTATGGTATGCATCTCTAGATGATAACGCATTGTCAGGCTACATGTTCTCGGGGATCTCGGGTGACATGCTAGCACATTTCTTGTGTTCTCCAAGCTCTGTGCGGCAAAAGTACTGCAGACATTGATGAACACCCCAAATATAGGCACCATGTCGGCGAGGCCGTGATAGAGTGCCAGTGGTGTAGAAGCTCCAGCATTCTTTGAGCAGAGATCATCTGGTTGGGTTGAGGCAGAGTTTCAGGGTTGAGATGCGCAGGAGGCTGCGCGAAATCAAAATTGCACTATGAACTCGACATACATTTCCTCATCAGGTCATATTAAGCATGGTGTCGTTGTGTTCTCAGGTACCAGCCCTGGATGTGCCTGGGTAGAGGCGGCTTGCTTACCCGAAGCAGACTGGCAGGACGGGAAACGTGCGAGGGAAGCACGCAATTTCCCCGCGACGTCATTGGATCCGACATCGTCGCATTTCCATAAGTTTTCGCACGACGGTCCGGCAACGGTCCAGCCGTTTGTCATCGTGAACATCGCGTCATCATGGAGTCTCTCCGTCTCGTCTCCACTTTCGCATACCTCTGCCCTCGATCCGCGCGTGCTGTGGGCAACCGGTACAGCCATGAGCGTTCCCCGTAGCCTGTTCGCAGGCACGCGAACAGCACGATCCGCAACAACTACACAATGCTTCGCCAAAAGATCAGCTCAGACTTCGCTGCTATTTGCAAGACGGCAGTCGAACCAAGCCACCAGAAAGCTGCACCAGCAGACACCACGAAGAGCACAACATGCCGCCGCCGCTCGAGAAGTTGAATCGTCAAACCCCGCCCTCTCCTTCCCATGCCTCGACGCTCAAGAGGCTCGCTCTGTGTCTCTTTCGAGAAAGAGGGCATCTTCAGGACCCGAACCCTCATATACCTCTGGACACACCCTGAATTTCCATTCGACACAGCCCATACTCCTCGATTGGGGCGGCATACTGCCAGAGTTCAACATTGCATATGAGACATGGGGGCAACTCAGCCCGAACAAGAGTAATGCCATCCTACTCCATACTGGGCTATCCGCTTCTAGTCATGCCCACAGCACAGAAACGAACACAAAGCCGGGATGGTGGGAGAGGTTTATCGGGCCAGGAAAGCCTTTGGATACAGACAAATACTTCATCATCTGCACAAACGTAATCGGAGGATGCTATGGCTCGACTGGACCTTCCTCAATCGACCCTGCCAACGGCGAACGATACGCGACCCGATTTCCAATTCTTACAATGGAGGACATGGTACGCGCACAGTTCCGACTGCTGGACAACCTTGGCATTCAGAAGCTGTATGCGAGTGTAGGATCGAGTATGGGTGGTATGCAAAGTCTAGCCGCTGGGACACTGTTTCCTGACCGCGTGGGCCGTCTTGTCAGCATAAGTGGATGTGCACGCAGTCACCCATACAGCATTGCTATGAGACACACCCAACGTCAAGGTTAGTACATAGGAGGGGCATGGATCATGCGCAGTTATTAACCTATTCCTAGTGCTCATGATGGACCCCAACTGGAATCGCGGTTTCTATTATGACAGCATCCCTCCACATGGTGGTATGAAGCTTGCACGAGAAATTGCCACAGTCACATACCGAAGCGGCCCAGAATGGGAGCAACGATTTGGTCGACGGCGGGCAGACCCTTCGCGACCACCGGCGCTTTGCCCCGATTTTCTCATCGAAACCTACCTCGACCACGCGGGGGAAAAATGGTGTTTGGAGTATGATCCGAATAGCTTGCTCTACGTCTCCAAGGCCATGGACCTGTTTGATCTAGGACAAGAGCACCGCAATCGCATCAACGAGGTGCGGAAGGCGAACAGTGGCAAGATGCAGGCTTACCTGGATGGCCACGACATCACGTCTGACACGAGCAGCGATGTGTGCAACTTGACTTTGCCTGATCGACCATACGAGGAGAAAGAGCAGCCTGCTGATGTCGACTCTGTAGCGCAGACTGACGGCAATGAACCACCAGCCGATCTCGTGGCTGGCCTGAAGCCTCTCGCAAATACCCCGACTCTCGTTTTGGGTGTTGCTAGCGACATCCTGTTCCCTGCGTGGCAGCAGAAGGAAATAGCAACAACGCTCAAGCGTACTGGCAACAAAAATGTCACGCATATTGAACTCGGGGAAGAGAAGAGCTTGTTTGGCCATGATACTTTCCTTCTCGATCTTCAGAACGTCGGTGGCGCTGTGCAGAACTTCCTTGGATGAGCACGTTACTCCAAAGTACTATTGTTTTCTTTGTTCGGGTCTCTTCGTACTGGAAGAGTCGTTGGACTCCAAATGTATGCATTGCGGGCGTTTGTTGAAGCTTTACGATCAACCACATGTATTTACACTAAAACGATCGGTATCGAGATCCATCTTACAACATGTCTACTTTGCCCCAGGTATCTCATTCTTGACGTTCAGCCCCTTCCACTCTGCGCTCATGGCCTCATCAATCCACTTGCACTCTGTCAACCCAACATGTTCGCGGACGTACTCTTCCAGCGTCTTAGCTCCCGGGGCGCCTTCGTAGATGGCTATGGCCCCAACACGGGGGATGTGTAGGCTGGATGCGAGTCGGGAATCCGCTGATGTCTGGACCGGAACGAGTCGTGTGACTGTCTCGAATGTTTTCGGTGTAGCAAGTGTTGAAGATAGGGTGGCTAGGTGGATCAGTGTTGGAAGATGGGCGTGTGCGGGTGATAGAGAAGGTTTGGGGTGAGTTAGAATGACCATGCTTAAGGGCTTGAGGGTTGCTTCGGGATGTTTTTCTGGCATCTCTTTCTCCTCTGCGCCATTTCCGGCCTTCCCGGCGAGATTGAGCTGGACCAGGTCCTTGGTAAGCTTTTGATTCGCAACGAATGCGGTAGAAGGAGCGTTATTGGCAGCTAAAGCTTCCAGATGGCGCGTTACGCTATTGAGGCCGACGAGCAGATGCTCCCCAATATCTGGCACAGAAGGCGCAGTCTCGGTCATCGTGGGATTATCATTACTGGAATTCGTGTTGCGTCTTCTCTTCTTCCCTCTGGATGGATGGATGTGGTTTCTGCGATGGTCACCTAGCGGTGTGGTAAGACTACGACGTTGTTAGTGGCCAGGAAAGAAGAAGGCATCGTAGGATCTTGAGTGGTGAGAAAACTCCCGTTACGGAGATCCATCGAAACTCGAGCGCAAACTCCAGAAGAAGTGGTGGGAAGATGAAGTTTCGCTTTGCGTACCTACTTGCAAAGCAATTCTAGTATGACTTCTTCGTCCTCTCGTGAAACTTCAGGCCTGCGAAGATCAGCAGGGTGTATTGAGAGACCGCGTACGTGCCTACCACTTCGTCTCTGCGAATGGCGACGATGTTTTGAAGACGGGCTTCGCGTTCTGTTTGGCAGGTGCCATTGCCAAGATAGCTGTTCCAACTGGCTCGTTCCGCTTCTCAATACTAGCTGTCCGGATAGGTGTCTGCCGACGTCGAAGAGCAGAAGTACTTTTCAAGCTGGCCGAAGTGCGCCCGACACCCTGCCAGTGCTCAGTCTAGATAAGTGAGACTTGTAAGGTGGAGTAGACAGGCGTGCCTTGCATTAGATGGAGGATTTCTCGATCTTGGTCTGATGAGGCCTAGACTGCTCCCACTAGCGGCGCGCTAGCTCCACAGCGGGAACCAACTAGGATGACGATGGTGGGGTTTCTTAGCTACGCGTCGAATATCTGAAGCTCTGCCTACCAAGTTGAATCTGATTCTTTCTCATTGCATTACCCTAATTCCAGCTCATTCCTGTCGTTGACGCAGATGAGACCCAACCTCCCCGCGTTTACCCTGCCGCTGTGCAAGGCTGTTGGCCACTAAGGCTGGAAGGAGCTGCTGTTGCCTGTACTTGGGATTGCTTGCTCTCTGCCTGGCCTCACCTGCCTACACGCGTGCTGATAGTCGCTGGCCACGCCTAGTCCTCTCGCAGACAACCACACAGGCCTTCTACCGTCATGACCGCGCCAGACATAGATATAGTGCAGTCTGTCGCTGCAGACGAGCCAGCAATCACCGCCTCTGCCTCGCCGCCGCGTCGCGACCCCATTGAAGACGCCGACGCCAGCTACACACGCAAACGCCCCCGCCTGCACAGCGGGAGCAACAGCCTGTGCGCCATGCCTAGCGAGCCCCAAACCCCCGCGAATACTGCCGCATCACCCTCTGAGAAGCAGGTAGAGATGACCATACGCTCACACCCGCCCTTGTCCCCGAAGCGCGGTGGAGACGAGGACCACGGCAATGCTAACGACTTCCTCGAGGATCCCTCACCTACCCCCGGTCAGTCGCCTATACTCATAACTAGTAGCGAAGATGAGCGAGGAAGCCCGCCCATCATGATAATTGACGACGATGACGACGAAGCAGTCGGCTTTTCGGTACAGGTGGACGCAGAAGACTACTTTCGCCAATTTCCGTACTCCCAACATGGTAGCTACTCTACCGTTGTTCGCGACCTGACACAACACATGCAAAGGAGTACGTCAAGTTTGATGCCCACTCAGCGCCTACGATTCTAACAATATTAGTTGACAAAGAAATCGATTTCGACTTCTTTCCTAGCCTTTCGCGATGGCTGGCCGACCTACCCGAACCTTCCGCTAACTCACATGGCTTTTATGCGAGTAAGGCCATGTTCTGGGATGATTTCTCTTTACTGGTGAACAAAGTGCTATCACGCAAGGCGGCATTTGGCCACCAACTAGATGATCGTCGCACGGGCGACATGTTCTACAGTTTCTTGAGTGCATACATCAGGATATGCTCCTACCTTTTACTTGCCGACGTCCACCTCCTCTCCCGCCCGCGTCTCAGTGAGATGTATAATTTGCCTCTCCTTAGCCAGAAACATATGCGGAACTGGCATACCATTCTTCTCCCTGACAAGGCGCCAGTATTTTCTATGGTCAGCAAAGAATACTCCGCTGATATCCGGAAAATGGTCTCGCTACTACAGAAGGACTTTCTGGTCGCCAATGGTGCTCAAAATCTGCTACGACTGGCCAACGAAGCCTTCCACCACGTGCCTTTGAACACGCAAGCCCAGATCGCAGCATTTACCGCTCCTGTGCTATGCTCATTGGGTATATCGATGTCGCAGGGCCCTAAATCTTCGAACGACGACGATCGTTCCGAATTTTGTCGCAGAGTCCTACAGTTCTTGGAGCAGTACATGGACGATCTCTTCGATTTGAGCAGAACTACCGATTCTACCGTCGCTCGAGACTTGATTCAACACTTTCACTCGCTATTATTTGAACTATGTATCTGGGACAAGAAAATAGAGTCAGATCTGGTCGACAGATACTTAGACTTTCGGAGCGTCGATTCGCCGACAACATCATCCTCCATCGAAAGCAGTCTTGCCAGGAAACAGGACGATTATCTCAATGACCCTCAATACTTTCCAGTACTAGTCGCCAACGCCTGGAAGTTCAAGATTCTACGCAGATACCTCACTAAAGGCAAAATGGACTTGCGCGTCATGAGTATAGGTGTGATGGATATAAGCTTGGTCGAAATCTGGAAACAGTACAATGAGGCCAACGCAGCAGGAAAGCATCCTGTCATGCGGTACCTAGCGGACTTTCTTCTCGACGGGAAAGTGGTTGACTACCTCGTCAGCGTGGACTCACATCCCCAGCTCATCGCGCGCAGCGGAAACATTGTTGGGTTTCTCGTTGTGACTCAGCGTTGGACAGACTCCCAAGCGGACGCCATCTGGAACACGGTCGCCACAAATCCCGACCCTCGAGTGGTAACCGCAACTATGACCATGCTTAGGCCAATCATGCATCTGATGAAGCCCTCCGATCATCTGTACTTTTGCACTAAACTTCATGAGACGCCCATCAGTAGCTATACGATGGAAATATTCCGATTCCTGCAAGACCTGGGCCAAAAGATCGTTGAGAAGGCCTCGGCAGAAGACTTCGCTATAAGTGAAAGTACCGCAAGACCGTGGAATGTTTGTATCCGTCTTGTCCGCGACACAATGTCTCAGAAGGCGCCAGACAAAGACATGCTGGACCTGTATTGTGAGGCTGCCGAGCACCTCAAAACTTTCGCACATAGCGTGCCCATTGAAGAGCGGTATTCAATCTACAGGAATTGTGCGAGCTATATCGGCAGCAACTCAGCCGAGGCAACTGGAAGTGCAAGAGTCATCTTCTCGCTGGCTTCACCGATTCCCTCTGGGGACGGATCCTTCTTCCATGAGAATCAAGATGTCACATGCAAGATCTTAAGCGAGATTACATCGTATGTCGATATCGAGAAAAACCATGAACCATCCACCCACCAACAGCTAGCTCTCCGTTGTCGGTTGGAGCTCCTAGCACTCATGATATGTCGTGCTGGACCAGCCATACCTGTCGAGATGTACAATCAGCTATGGGAACACACCATCGGTCTTCGTGCGCTCTCAAACACAGCCCGAGACTGGGCATGGGTGCAATTACTTCAAACGCTGAAAGTTGCCCCAAACAACGATTACTGTAGGCAACTTGTCTCTTCTCACATGACACACATGGACCCCAGCATGTACACAAATGGCATGTTCGAATTTGTCGCCAACTACAACTTTCCTATGACGCGGCAGCCTGTTGTAACTGACCAAGGGGAAAAGACTGTATTGCAGATTCCCGGTGCCGATGTGCTATGGTCCATGGTTCTATCATCACCAGAAGGCACTATTGAAGATCGTGCTGCTCGTCTTCTTGCGAGTCGCTATGTGCAAATCAACGAAGCTGAGGGTGTTATGCTAGCAGATGTGGAAATTGCTCACACTGTCCTAGTCGAGAAGTGTATGCAGGAGATGCGTTCGGCCTGCAAGGTCATACGCAGTCAGTCCCCAGATAGTGGAGATCCAACAACCATGGATGTCACCGCATCTCACTTGGCTGTGCATGAGAATGAGGGGCGCTGTCGCAGAATCATCTTGTTCCAAAAGCTCCTACTGGAGATGATACGTCAAAAACCAGAATTCAATCGCAATCGAAGAGCAGATTCCAAAGTCGACGAAACGGATGTTTTCTACGGCGATTCGATCGCGATCCGAGTCCAGTGTGGTAACGATAGACAGGTCGTGATGATGGGTGCAGATCACACTGTGGAAGATCTCTACAGGCGACTATGTCATGTATCGAAATGCACCAAGGTCAACCTTTTCGCGAAAGGCAAGCGGCTCAACGTTTCCGATAGGTCGAACGAGAAACTGAGCCGTATCGACTTCGGAGGGCAGCTCCTCGTACAAAGGGCCCCAGATGCGGAAGTCACTCAACCTTTGTCGGGACAGAGCACAGGATCTTCGGTTTTCGAATCCACAGTGGGTAAATATCTGGATGAGCTATTCTCCTTAATGGAAACCGATGATAACCTAAGCCGAATGGTATTTATTTGCATGGGATCGCGCTGTACGTTGCTGATTCTCGCCAGGTGTTCGATTATTTGAGCTTCTTCCCAGCTCGACATACCTTTGCGGATAGTGTCATGGCAGGCGCAGCACGATCGGAAGATCTTTTTCCCCCAGGAAAGCTCTATCAGGCGAGATACGCGGCTATGGCTCTTCAGGCTAGACTGCGAGAGCAGATACGTAACGTAAAGTTACTGAATAATTCGTGTTGATATCCATGTGCTAACGAACTAGAAGTCAAACCTAGACGAGAAGTTCCTGGTCGGTGCTATACGCCAGTTGAACGAAGCTCTTCTCAATCCTCGTCTCATTAGTGATACAATCTCGAGCTTTCAAGAGCTGCAATTAGCGGCTGTCCTCGTGGCAGCTCTGTTGGAGTTTCTTAGAGGTAAGTGCCACGTTCTCATTTCTCATAACATGGCCAATGCCTTATGCAAAGTAGAGCGACCTTCCGCCGACGCCTCGGCCACCTATTTCTCCGACGGCACACGACTCGGAAACCGCCTTATCATGATCCTATCGGTTGCACTTGAAACGAACGAAGATGCTACCGTGGTTCGAGATTGTTATGCCACTATCTTAGAAGCATCACTTCACTCGCGCATCATCTGGGAAGCCTTCATTGAGCACCCCCAAGTTCCGCAATTGCACCGAGCGCTACTTCTGGAAGACCTCAGGGAGCCTTTGCGACAACATGTTGCTCAGAAAATTGATTCCGTCTGTGGTGGTGATCTTCCATCTACATGTCCACTGACCAAAGGCGAGATTGCCACCCAGTTCTGGGCGGTCATTTCTGCGATCATTCCAGATTCTGTGCGCCTTCCTACACAGTCTTTTCAACTACTCGACATTGCTGAGCGGGTTTTTCGGGCAAAGGACGAGTACGAACGCAACGAAGCTTCACTCCGACTGTACTTGACTAAATGGATTGACCTACTATTGAACCACAAGCACCAGGAGTTTGTAGGCCGAGACGAGATCGACCACGTGGTTTTTGGTCTCACAAAGCTTATATCATGCTGCATACTGTCATTGAAGTCGTTCAAGAAGCCTCTCAATACAGGCGACGTGATGGAGAAGATATTCAAGAAGTACATTTTCACCGAGAGGTACGTCGCGCAAACCGACCAAAAATCGAGCGACTCTGCTCTGATTTGCTACCTTTTTTCATACAGCAAGATACTGACTCAAACCAGTCGGTCTTCTGCAGAAGCTGGCCTAGCTACTGTACCGATACTAGAGTCACACACGAGGCACGAGATGTACGATCTCATGCTTGCCCTAGTCGACGACAGTAGCACGTACAATACCCTCATCAAGCTCGCAGGAGACGTAGAAAACGAGGAATACGAGCCAGCGTTGGCCACCGTCTCTGTCGATCGTTCCATGGAAATACGCTCTGGCACAGGCTATGTGGGTCTGTACAACCCGCGCGCCATCTGTTACGCAAACTCCCTTCTTACTCAGCTCTTCATGAATCTCAACTTCCGTGAATTCATCCTAGGTTTGGAACTGCAAGAAGGCAGTGGCTCTCAACAGCTTCTACTTGAAACACAGAGGCTATTTACAAACATGCAGCATTCCTTTCGCAGGTCTGCAGATCCACGCAGTTTCGCAGCATGTGTCAAGAATTCGGAGCTCATGCCTATCGACATCAGCGTTCAGATGGACGCAGATGAGTTCTACAATTCCCTGTTCGACCAATGGGAACGCCAACTTATTAAAGAAGAGCACAAACAGCATTTTCGCTCATTTTATGGGGGGCAAACCTTGAATCAGATCAAATCAAAAGAGTGCGAACACGTTTCTGAACGAACGGAGCCTTTCTTCGCGGTACAATGCGATGTCCAGGGCAAGTCCACACTTCAAGAGAGTCTCCAGGCTTTTGTTAGAGGCGATGTCATGGAAGGCGACAACAAGTACAAATGTGAAAGCTGTGGGGGTAGATATGTTGATGCAGTCAAGCGGTAAATTGAATTCAAATCTGGTATTGAGCGAAGCTAACTACATCAGCACCTGCTTCAAGGAGGTCCCTGACAACCTCATCTTCCACCTAAAGCGCTTCGAGTTCGACCTGGCCGATTTCAGTCGGAGAAAGGTCTACGATCACTTCGAATTCCCACCATCTATCGACATCAGCACGTACCATGTCGACCATCTTAGTGACCCAAGCAAGTCAAAGGAAGCGGACATATTCGACCTTGTTGGTGTACTTGTACACACAGGTACTTGCGAGCATGGTCATTACTATTCTTACATTCGTGAACGACCTTGTCCGACAGGAAATGCAGCACCAACCTGGGTTGAATTCGATGATAGCAATGTTGGACCTTTCGACCCAACAGACATTGGGTACCGGGCGTTTGGAGGCTTGACAGACGACACCTTCAACCGCGTACCGAAACAATATTCTGCATACATGCTGTTTTATCAACGCCGGACTGCGGTAGAAAACGATCAGCGCAATTGGGTCCCCTCTCCAGACGGGAAGACTCTAAAAGTTCCCATGCCCCCAGCCCTGGAGAATGAGGTTGATCTTAAGAACGAGGTGTTTATCCGAGAATACTGTCGCTTCGATCCAAACCATACAAAGTTTGTGCGACAGCTTCATGCCATGTCACGTACTATCAACCACGGGTCATGCTCAGAAGGCCATCTACAAGTACATGATATCGCGTTTGATTTATCCAGATTCAGGACACTAACGTCTTTGCAGGAAACTCGCTCTTTGAGGATAGTGCTTGCACACCTCGGCAACGTTGTCTGGCGTCACATGACTTCCGATATTTTTTCCGAGACCTTACTTCAGATACGACGCTCCGTCCTGCCCTGCTCAACATGCTGCAACATTGTCCTCAAGGCTCTTGCTACCGACGAATGGAATCTGCTCAATCTGCTGCTCCGTTGCACACACGCCAAAGTACGGTCTCAAACACGTAGCTTTCTCATTGACTGTCTCAAAGTCTCGCGCGAAAAGGACCCTGTTTCATACGGTCAGGAGGACGCTGAGAATGATATGGACTTCGATCTTTCTTCACTAACAGGTGGGATACTTGCGAGTTTCACGACCAGGTTACGTATCGTCACAACTGAAACCCACATGTCCATACGGGGCTGGGACGACTTCTATCTCACACTAACTCAGATGCTCGAACTGGGCCATGTGGAGATCGCTGTAGTACTGAATGGTGGCTTCCTGGATTTCTGCCTGAAAATGCTTTGTATGCACTCGTACAAGCGGTTCCAGGACGAGGACCCTGACCTATGGAGAATCGTGAGCAAGAAGTCGGGAATTTATAACAGGCTCATCGGATTCCTGTCGAATTTGCTCCTACGCATCGATACCGGTCTGCCAGCCATTGCCTCAGGTGCTGATCGCCTAGCTTCGCTCGACCGGGAGACTATGATGTTTCCATTGACCTATCAAGAACGGAACATGCTCTATTGGTGGGACTCTGATCTGAAAGCCATTGCGGTTCTGGACAAGGCGTTGGAAATATTCGATGAGTCGAAAATGGATTACTTCCATCCCGGTGACATGGTCAAATCGATGCTCGGTTGGCGAGACCCACAGGCTCAGTCCAGCCTCTTCAAGACTCTTCTTGAAGGCATCGTTACGCTCGACCCTCCCTTCTGCGATGCTTATATGAGAGCTTCACTATCGTATTGCGAAGGCTGTCCGGTGGTAGACAGTGTCAACAAAATTATTACAACGATTGCGAAGGCGGTTGCATCAAACAGTCGGATTGAAGAGGGCCGCGCACCTGGCGGCTCGGCTGCCCTCGATTTCTTTGGCGGTCTTTTGCAAATAAAGAACGAGGCTATCTTTCAGCAAAAGCACCAGTACATGTTCTACGCATGGGTTATAGGGAAAAGCCGCATTTGGGCACCCCCTTTACTCTTACACAAGCTGGAAGACGTACGGCAAGGTGCACAGATGCTTGTCTGCGAGCTTTACAGGACTTACGAGGGATGGCCTGTGGATCTGGTACAACTCAGATGGAAAACACTCCGTGAGACGATCACCGACATGATGAAGCGCATCGTATACGAAAAAGATCTAGGCATGCCGAAACATCATCTATCCCCACTCATCGACACTTGCCAATTCCTCGTTCAACAGCTCTACGACCTCAACCAGAGCGAGGATCTTGAGTTGGATCTGTATAGAGATGTTGTCAACGACACCACACGCATGCAACAGTGGGCTGAGGAGATCGAACCTAGATTGGAAGCTTGGCCACAGGACGATAGCCTATCAGCGGCTGATCTCTATGATAATTCTGGTAGTGAGTCAGATGGGGAAGAAGTATATGATAACGATGTATGATTATTGACACGATGCGTCGGTAGATGGCCCACTCAAGTCCGACTCACCGCTGTCTCCTTGTGATCCGGACGGCGCCAGCGATCGTTCTCCAGCCCGCTCTTCGAACGTCACGTACATCAGTGATGAAGAAATCACCATCTCAACGAATTTCTAGAGCAACCATAAACCCATGGCTTTGCTAAGAGCAGGCTGAATGGATTTGGACTTTCTGCGCATTGATTTTGCACGAAGTTATTGTTAGGAATTGCATGCCCTGTTTTCTGGGACACATCTGGTACACCATGGCATTTACTTTGGACTTCGGTTTTTGGGGACAGTCTTCACTTTATTGTTCTTGCTGGGGTGGCATAGCGTGGGTGCTTGGGGGTACTTAGATAAAATGACCTCTTCACGTTCGGAGTTAGGTATGACTATCACGCTTCATGACTATAGCATCCTCACGATAGAGAATTTATCTACGGAAATCTCATTCTGCTCAAAGCATCCTACGCATAACGCGTAAGTATTGCTGGGCAGCTGACTTCCCCCCGAGCACGATCTTGCACCGCGCTGAGACGACCCACTCTTATGCTAAATCCCTCACTATGATACTTGCAACTGTAACAGAGGGGCGGAGTTGCCCAATAGTCGAGAATGAAATCCGATCGCGCGCGGAGGGTCGGGGATGCGATATCGATAAGCATCAGGCTAAGCTTCGTCAGCCTGATCATCACGTCCCACCCGCAGAAACGACGTCATAGCGAGGTAACGCGGAAGCTGCGGACAAGCTTTCCGCTACCTAGAGCCGTGCCGTCATAACAAACAAGGCTACCCAGTCGGCTTTGCGATTGTTGTTGAATCCCTATTCCCTCTTCTAATCTATAATTCCTTATACCCCTCCTCCAGATCTTCCGGCTTTTGTTTTTTTGAGGCACCATCCTTGTGAAGCAGCACGCGACAAACCTCATCCCCGGTTCCAGCACCAAAACGACACCATACGGCGAGAACGACACAGCAATTGAGGTGACTCAACTACAATTACATTCACAATGTCGAACAAATTGGACGCGATGAAGCCGCAGAGGAAGATTGAGCTCTTTTCAGGCTCATACTTTGCGGCGTGTACAATGGGTGGTATTATCGCGTGCGGGCCTACACATACTATGGTTACCCCGCTGGATCTGGTGAGTTTATTCTCACGTGCCAATTACATTTTGAAGTCGCTGAAGTATTCAAAATGTTTCCGAGGACACACGCGCTGATTCTCATCTCACAGGTAAAATGCCGCCGTCAAGTCGACTCCAACCTCTACAAATCCAACTCGCAAGCGTGGAAAATGATCTATTCCAAAGAGGGTCTGCGCGGTGTATTCTTTGGTTGGACACCCACTTTCATCGGCTACTCCATGCAAGGGGCTGGCAAATACGGTTTCTACGAAGTCTTCAAGTACCTGTATGGTGAGAAGCTTGCTCCCGGCGCCCCGCAAACGGTTGTATATCTCGCTGCCTCCGCTTCCGCCGAATTCCTCGCCGATATTGCCCTGTGTCCTATGGAGGCAATCAAGGTCCGGATGCAAACGACCATGCCACCGTTCGCAAACACACTAAGGGAGGGCTGGTCGAAGGTGATCAAGGAAGAGGGCGTTGGCGGTCTTTACAAGGGCCTGTATCCTCTGTGGGCGCGTCAAATCCCATACACCATGGTCAAGTTCGCCACGTTTGAAGAGACTGTCAAGCAAATTTACGGCTTCTTGGGTAAGCCAAAAGAGTCGTACGGAAGTCTACAGCAAACTGGTGTGAGCTTCCTCGGTGGATACATCGCTGGTATTGGATGCGCGGTCGTCTCGCACCCCGCAGGTATGTCGGAAATGTTTCACGAATATCAGAGAGTAGTAAATGGTGGCTAACATGTGTTAGATGTCATGGTCTCGAAGCTCAACAGCGACCGGAAGGCTGGCGAGGGCGCTGGCCAAGCTATTGGCAGGATATACGGCAAGATCGGTTTCAGTGGTCTTTGGAACGGACTGCCTGTCCGTATCTTCATGATTGGTACTTTGACTGCGTTCCAATGGCTTATCTACGACTCCTTCAAGGTCTACCTTGGTGTAAGTTGTTCCCACCGCTGTGTATGTGGGCCTGAAGCTAACTTCCAAACAGCTACCTACTACCGGTGGCCACTAAGCCATCTACTACACGAAGAGAGTGCGATAGTCATGGCGTGTAAGGTGTTCTTGGAGTAAGACTAGCGGATGACTACTACCTAATGACGTTTAGTTGATGTAATTTACTTCCTGCTACTCGTGGTTGTCAATACTAACATTATCTGTTCCTACTCACAAGACTGCCCCCTCATCCTAGTCGATATGCATCATTCAATCTAGTATTTTGCGACATTTTATTATTGTTCGGAGCTGTACGAGGAGTAGCCTCGCAGCTGTCTGCATTTACTGTGTGAATCGTGAGCATAACGCGACTAAAATTCCTAGATTCTTATTCGGCATCGCAAGTCAGCATGCAAAGGCCCCTCCACTCGTTTGCATGGCGATACAAGATCGCCCCTCCGCAAATAAAGACGAATCTTTGTCTCTCATTTCACAAACCGCTTGATCATGTATTATCGCATCTATCACATAAGACTCACTTCTCTATTGCGCCCTCTGTAAGATCATCTTCGCAACCATCAAACACCAGACTTCTACCTACACCGAAAGCGAAGAGTACTTCTTCATCAAGTTAGGTATTTGTTATCTGATCACCGAGCATATTATTACCTTCAAGATCAAATTCCTACGAGAAGACCATATTGTCAATGTCGATATACCCATCAGACATGCACTTGTCGAAGGGGCGCTATGGAAGCAGGTGGATGTAAAGCTGACGAACACAAGGTTGAAGAAAGAATAATTCGAAGTAATTTGTAGATTCGAGGAAGTCGACAAGATGGAGGGAAGATAATAAGATGAGAAGATAAGCGCGGACAGGATGCCCAGAGAAAGAGGGACAACTTAGTGGAATGTTCATGGGCATGAGCTGGACTAGCGACAAGCTTGGAATTCTATGATGAAATATGGGAGAAATTAGAGAGACTGTCAATAGCAATGTTGCCTCTTGACTTGTGCTATTAGCAAGAGAGTGGGAAAAGAACGATAGGCTGGAGTCAGGTTGCAGGCCTTATGTCCAGCACCTTGCTGTATCAATTTTGTGGTGCATCGCAGACCAACTGTTGGCGCAGAAACGATAGTCCTCTATAGCTCGTAAAGGGTATTGTAAGTATCAACAAGCATGCGATAGCAGAGCCTGAAGGTCTTCGCAGAGTCGCGGGGGGTGGGGAGATGGCAACCCAAATATATAGTGCCTTCACTAAGCCGACGCTTGAGCGACGCTCGAGCACTAAGCCCACGCTTGAAGGGCGCCGCGTTCGCTGTCCGCCGCTCGGTGTAATGCGCGTTGCTCCGGACCCGTGAGTATGGTCCCCAATGGTGGAGAGGACGTGCGTAGCGGCTATGCAAGGCGAGAGCAGAGAGGGTAATAACACGGCACGTATACTCTGTACGAACTAAAACTCGTTTCGATGTTCTTGATACAGTAACAATGTCGGAAAATCTACCACGGGGTATGTCAACCGAGGAGTGACTTCAATCACTTGCGTACGAAGTAATATCTCGGCTCCATCTCGGTGTAACATTACACGCCTGCCCCACCCTCTACAGTCGCGCCGCTCAACTTACCGCTTTTGAACTCGTCGACAGTAACCCCAAAAGTAACCCACCCTACTCCTTGGTAGCCATTGATCCACTCGATGAGCCTCTCGTGCAGTAGGATGACTTGTGGCTTGCCGCTAACCTGCGGGTGAATACTAATGGGGAAAATGAAGCTTCCGTCGTCGGGGCATTCGCGATACAGGAATTCGAATTGTTCCTTCCATAGGCGTTCGATGACCGCGGTATCGACGAAGCCATGAGTACTTGGCTGCATGAGTGATAACTGGAAGGGCGGCCAGTCGTCCAGGTGCCAGTTTGCAGGTATCTCAACCACTGCAGACGGCTTCAACGTTGACATGGGTGTCATCCAGTGAGAAGTTGGCTTTGATAGATCGGTCTCCGTATATGTGACGTGATGTGGGGAAGGAACATAGTATGGCTGAGAGTCGTGGTGCATGAAAGAATGATCGTACTCCTGCAGCATTTTGTCAGTCCTTCGCCTGTACCAGAAATTGCGTGCAGGTTTCCGTACGATCCCGAAGTCTTCGAGCAGCTTAATGGTTTCTCTACTCGTACTCCAAGCCGGTGCAGTCCAACCGCGCGGCTTCTTGCCTACGATGTTTTCCAAGACTTGAATGCTCTTTTCTAGAACGTCTCGCTGCTGTTCTTCACTTAACAAAGACACGGACTCGTGTGTGTACCTGGGTAATCGATGTACGAAGTCAGCTTGTATGTCATATGCATTCCGTACATCAGAGCTCCTACCCATGCAGCCCTATCTCATGTCCTTTCTCAACGATCTTGCGTATTTGTTTTGGAAACGAATCTGCAGTATGCGCTGGTGTAAACCATGTCGCCTTGATATTGTACTTGTCGAAGAGCTTCAGGAGACGATCAATGCCTACTGTCGCGCCAAACACACCCGGTGATATATCAGTGGGATTCGCGGGAGCACCAGTCTTCGTGTTCAGCCTTAACATGCTGTTAGCCCACGATCCGGCAATGCACTAAACAGGACCATTGTACCATCCGCTCACCTGCATTGTACGAATCAGTGTCTGTCTAAATAAAAAGAGAGGGCAGACTTGTTACTCACGGCATCGATATCAATACCATACGAACAAAGTACGCGTTTCGGCATGATCTTGGGTAATACCTTCGAAGAAGAAAGGATTTCTTAGTCGTGAATTGATGTTAGAAAGTGACAACACTCGATAGTAAGGCCATAGCCCCATCTTATCATCAACTCCTTGCCTCATCAAACGTTATGGCCTGAAGCGCAGTTGTGCTTGCAACGTTGCGTCACATCTGTCCAGAATCATTTCAATGCCGTGTGAGTGGTTCACCATTTACTGATATACTCCGAAATACCAAACAATGGGTAGTAGCAGGGTTTCAATACCGGATGAACTAGCCTGGAGCGGCCCATGAACTGCTTTGGTGCTCTTGCAGCGCATTTCGTATGTACTTGCTCATCTACGGCCTTGTAGCGAGTTATAGACGAAGGAGCGCTTTACGATAGCTCGGAACGGAATTGAGCGCACGAAAGCGGGGCACGCGTGGGATTGCCGAAAGCGCTGCCGTGGAAGGAATGACAGAGATGGACTCTAACAACGCAGTTCAGGTAGACGAGAACCTGAACCAGTACTTTTTCTTGCTTTCGTCTGATCTTTATCGAGTTTTCAGTACAGTATGTTGTTCGTGGAGTGCAACGGAACCCCTTACGAAGTAAGTGCAACGCGTGACGTCATTGCTGCTCGTCACCGCCAATGAACGCAGCACCGAGAAGGCGCTCAACGGGATTGTGCTGACCATATTACATAGATCGGCTACCAACATGGTCAAGCTGCCAAGCTACAGATAGCCCGCTGCATCGAGTTCTATGCTTGTCTCTTCCTCAAGAACTGCAAGCAAAGATGGCCGCAGGTTCTCCAACACGCGTCAAAGTTTGAACAGCGAGCGAAAGCGCAATGGCCGAATTTCCATACAGAGATGCAAGGCATCGCCGACGGCTCGGGACGCGATTTGTTAGATATCGTGGCCATTAATGTCAGAACTGAGATTAACTTTGGTTTATTCAGCGATGGCTGCACTGCACTCGCATGGCATACCCAAAATCGGGCATGGCTGGCGCAGAATTGGGACGTCAGTTCTACTTGATTAAACATGCAGCATAGGATGATTGTGTGCTAATCGGACCTAGTGGATGACCGAGCAGCAACAGAATCTGATTGTCACCAAGATTACGCAAGCTACCAAACCCACTATAGTCCAGGTAACGGAAGCAGGGATAATCGGAAAAATCGGCTTCAATAGCAGTGGCGTAGGTACACTGTTCAATGCCATAAAAGTCCATGGCGTCGACTCTATCCGAATGCCTGCCCACTTCGGCCTAAGAATGGCATTGGAAAGCGAAAGCGTCGATGAGGCTGTCCACAAGCTTGAGAGTTTTGGCATGGCCTCTTCAGCCCACATCCTGATAGGTGACCCAAGCAAGTCTCTAGGTCTGGAGTTCACAAAGAGCACTTTCGCCCACGTACTACCAGACTCCGGTTCGAGAGTCATTCACACGAACCATTTGCTTCTAGAGCACCCTGGCGAGACCGATACTGTGTGGCTCAAAGATTCCTTGGACCGGGTTCGCACAATGACTGAGAATGCCGGAGCATTAGGTGAAGAACCGAGCTGGGAAAGTGTGAGTCGATTGTTCGAAGACGAACAAAATGCCCCAGGGGCAATATGTAGGGTCGAAACCGAGCAGAGTGGAAGTGGCACGTTGTTCAATATCGTGATAGATTTGAAAAGCAAGAAAGCCGTAGTGAAACTTGGCAGGCCTACAGAAGTACAGGAGATCGTCAACCTAGAGCTATGAAGTAAATACACTCCTTGTTCCCTTGGTTGTTATGGGGCTATACGAAGCTCGCGCACTGTGAGAAAGACGTCTAGTAACTATTTGCAGAGAAATCTATGATCAACCCAGGCAGTTTTCACTTTACTTTCAATTCCTGGGTAAAGACATGGCGCGATTTCGTAGTGAGCATAGAGTCTCCTGATCTTTATCACGTACCAAGTAATGCGACGGGTACGCCGGCCGCGGTTCCCCACTACAACGTGGGGGCTGGATGAGCGTGTTGGCAGTTCAGCGCTCTTGGCGACCTCGATTCAGACCCGGCACGTTGGTAAAAGTGGACGGGCAGTTCCTTGTCGGGAGACCCACGTACTGAATACGCGAGACTATTACACTAAGTTTTGGCGAGTGTAACTTCATAGCTAATCAGTCACATACTGAAAATGGGTTCAGTGACACATGGTGGTACGTACAATTGCAGAACCTAGGAACCAGCCAGGACTGTCGAACTTTGATAGTGACTTTCGAAAGCTTGAATGGAAGATTTGAATAAGGAAATACTAGAGGACAAGATATCGATCTGCGTTAACGCCAAGGGTATTACATTCCCACCAACCGAAAATGCGCACATTCATCAAATGCCAAGAGGTTACGACTATTACAACATGTTGCTGGCATGTAGTTGGGATACTCAAAAGCCGGTAAGAGAAAAGACCCTGTCGAGAAACGCCATAGAGAATTACATTTCCGGTATCATGTCCATGTTGTCATTCAAAGAAAACTCCGCGTTCCAGTCAGAAGGCGGCAGATTGTATGAAAGGACGCCAAGCGGGTCTGGAGTATCAGTGGTTGAGGTGGTGGGATTGAACACCGTCCAGAGTTGATAGGCTTCGTCGCCTTCCGTGAAAACGCAAGACGGAATTTGGTAATCATACATAGTGCTCGTATCAGATACGGTCTGATGAAGCGTTGGTGGCCGATAGCTCGCTCTCTGTTCCAGAAACTCGAGATATTCTTTTTTGACTGGGAGAAGTAGCCGTTCGTATTCTTCAAAACACCTTTTTGCGGCTGCCCATCGCTCAGAGATGGACAGAAAGCACTTTGAGAAAACATGCATCCACTCTTCTACTTGTTGCCACGAGTAGTTTTGTGCAACTTCTTTCTTGCAACGCTGCAACCCCTGCAGAAATATGAGTGCGCAATCAAAGACATGATGGCACGGATGGAAGACATATTTAATCTTTCCAGCCTCTGCTTCTGATTGTTGGAAATAGCCATCAGCAACCTTGACAGCATTGACCAGGGCGACCATCATCTTCTCCCTGCTTGGATTTGGTATTCGTTGAGAAGACCGATGTAACAATGATAAGATATAAGGGCATGCGATATCGGAGTACAAGCGCATTTCAGTCCATCGCGCGTTCAAGCTGCGATCCTTGTTAGCCTCTGAAGTGGCATATATATCTCGTTGCCAATCTGCCATGTTATCGATGCAGTGTTGTATCCATTGCTCCAACGAGGAGTATTCCTGAGATATCGGGTCGCCATGCCATAGAACAGAAATGATCTCGGCTTCAATAAGACGGAAGCGGCAGATTATACGCTGCGTGAATTTTGACACCCGTCCAGTAGGCGACATACTAGACTGTGTAATGGCGGTATCATCGATCTCCAACGGAAATGCGACATCTATACGTCCGACGGGGAGGCTTGTAGGGCGTAAGAATATGCAGCAGACTCCAACTTCCATCTCCCACGCGCACCAGAATATACGTCGTCGCATGTCGCGCTGATAGGCCGAAACCTTGGCGTCATTCGGCAATTCTTGGTGAAGTCCAAGGTCGATGACTGCTTGGCTGATGAGACCTGTCATGAGCCACAAATCTGCCATCTTAGGATTCAGAAAGATATACTGAGTCAGAAGCAATATAGCCTGCAGCCCAGCAATGTCGTTGGTCGCAACTTCTGGAATCCATTGCATGGCATGTCGAACCAGCTGGTAGGCGAGGTCGTTTGCCTTCTGCACGTTGTTCCGCGCGCTTGTAGTTAGCGAGATAGCCATGATAATGCAGACTATGTAGCGATTCCGGAAAGAGTCTTCGTTGGGGGTTGCCGCCTTTTTATGGTAGATAGAGTTGAAGGCCGTTGTCACATCGTTGCGATGATATATGGGGTATTGCGTAATGACGCGATCTAGATAATTTTGGAGTAGTTTGTTGGCGCCAACCTCATCAGGCATGAGGTCGTAAAAGAGGCCCCTAGTTTGTTGGGGATTCAAGATAGATCTAGGGTGGTTTTCGTTCAAATCATTTGAGAGAACGGGTCCCTTTTTCGAAGGCAACCTGGTGCCTTTGATGACGCACTGTAAAAACGGCCGGGCTTTGCAGACACCAAGGAATGAAGGTGTGATGTCTTCCATGACCTGGTTGACGAGGCTATCGGCGAAGGCACATTTTTCTGCACGCCACTGGCCAGGTCTGGAGTCGGGTGTATGAGAATCTGCTGGGGATGACAGAGTGGCACTTGACTGTCCCAACGATGGCAGCGTTGACGGCGTGCTGGTCTGGCCCTCTAGCCGAACAATGTGCGCTTCCAAGAAATCTGCAATGGATCGCGGAGCTTCTTGTTGAGTTGAAGAGTCGAAGCCAACACATTGGACGCTGGCATCAACACAACGAGTGCAGGCAGGAACTTTGCCATCGCACTTGGTGAAGTCAGTACATGTATGACGTGGGTAGAGAAAGCGTGTACCGAGAGTTTACGCTTCCGGCAGCGGGCACAGGCCAGGACGCGGCGACGGACTTTAGTTCGGTTCTGCATGGTAAACCTCGAGCGTCTGGCATCTATACCACGACGGCGCAGTTGTCATGGCGCAGATAAAGGACGGGCTGGCGGTGGTGGTTGGCGATGGTCAATATTCTCGAACGAAGAACAGGATGCTGGCATGTGAGGGCAGCGGGCACGCGGGATGCAGGCGGCCGGGGTGATCGCTTCTGCATCGGGTCGCCCTAGCAGATAAGATCATCCCTCACTCGCCATCTTCCCAGCCCAGGCGTCCCATTGCGTCTCAGACCATTGTCCCTGACAAGACGACGGCGCGCAATGAACTGTAGTACAGACTCGAGCAGCTGCTAGACTTTGATCCATAGCTGTCACGTCCTTGCAACTACCCGCTCCGATGGCCGCCGCCGCCAGCAGCTCAAACTCCCCCACGCTTGATCTAGATGCTCTGATTCAGGTAACGCCGGCCGTCTCCGCAATTTGACATCGCGCACTTATACTTCCCCAGAGTCTCCCCGCATGTAAGAGATGCCGAGAGTGTCGCCGCGGATGCGACACCTTATTACCGAAGTGCAGGTACATCGTTCCTCTGTCCCACCCTGGGCATCCTGCTAACGGGTCAGGCAATGCACAAAAGCCGGCGTGGAATGCATGTTTTACGACCATGGACGCAATGAGCTGCTGCCACGAAGGTGAGCTGACGTGCCTTGTTTTCAAATCCCAACTAAGCACACCGCCAGCTATATCAGCGAGCTGGTAGATCGTGTGCGTAGTCTGTCAAGCGGGAATCCTTCACCAGCAGCTTCGGGTAGCGCTTTAGATCATGGCGTATTCGGCACGCAGGTCAAGACTGAGTTCATCGCTTCTGAAATTCCTCGATACGAGCATCACTTTGCCGAAGCCGGAAATAGCTACCGATATCTCGGCGCGGAATCGTGCCTCCTCAAATCACCCAGACTGCACACTGCGCATGAGGTCCGCGGCGAGCAAGATGACGAAGAACTCGACGATTGGCACTACACTAACAAACATTCGCCCGAGAAGCAGTACGAGCTGATGCAGCTGTTCCTTGAGACAGTCCAGCCAATCTACCCCATTCTGGATCCATCTCTACGTTACCTTGGACCGGATCTGCCCAGCGACCTCACGTCGACTGAGATGTTCTCGCTGTACATGATATATTCTATAGCATGCTACATCATCCCCAATACTCGCAAAAAGCAACCGCCAGATCAAGACTGGAACCCCACAGGTAGGCTTGCATATCATCAGGCCAATTCTATCAGATACCGCTCTCTCGCGACTCAATACTTCGCAGATGCTATGGAGCACCTCGAGTTAGCAACAATGGACCCAAATATCGACACCATCCGTTCCGTCCTTCTACTTGCCATCAACAGCTCGTTCGACCCAATAGCGGGTAACATTGGTCAGCAGATAGCTCTTGCAGGCCGGCTTGCGTTCGATCTAGAGTCAAAAAGCACATTACAAGAGCTTGGTCCAGACGATGTCCAAATGCTCCGAGCCATGCACATGACTATATTCTGCCTTGAAAATCAGATTGCATCTACACTAGACAGGCCGGCATTGTTTCCAGAACCGGTAAGCCTACTCGTCGAGCACGAACCGCAGGACAAGACTCATGACTTGCAGGAAGAAGATTTGTGTTTCGACAAGGAAAAGCCCGCCGAATATCTTTGCTCCTTGTATCGTATGCAGAATCGTTTTCGCAAGGGTGACCACCTTGCGAAAGAGAAGGTCAAGAAGCTACTCCCACTCTTCGACGAGAAAGACGAGTTGCTTCCTGTCATACGCATAACCTTGCACATTACACATCTGTTGCTAAATCCTTGCTGGGGAAGTGCGTGGCATGTGCTGTATGTGAAGCCCACACGTGTTGAGGGATTTAATGCTGACTATCACAAATAGAGAAGCTGTAGTAAGCTTCGGTGGCATCCACGTCTTCGTCACACCACACTGGGTTTACCGAGCAGGCACGGTGCTCATCCAAAACATGCCTGCGATCTTTGGTGGTAACCTCATCCAACTGTATTCAAACGCGCTTCTCGTTCTCGAACTTTCTTCCTGGAGGTGGCCGAGCTCCGCTGCTCTCTCCGCGTCGCTGGTCGACCTCATGCAGCATATGAAAACGAAGTACCGGCCAGACTGGTCCGACAAGCTTCAACAAGGCGACGTAAGAATATGACCTCCGGCTAGTTGCGACGGCATGCGAATCCCATATTTCCTTTCTCATGGACCTAATGAAATCTTCAGATGTCCTCTTCGTCCGCTGCGGAAAATATACGAAAAACCCAATCTAAGGGTCCGGGAGATGTCGACATCGTCCATCGCGGTTCCCGAGAAATGCCTCCAACTCCAGATTCCTGACGCTAGGGGGCTCTTACCACTCTCTTTTGACGGAGTTTCTACACTTTTGGCGAGGAGTGTTCAAGCTGTCCTATACGAACTGAGAGAGTAACCAATAGGGCGGTTGGATACATGTGCCATTGCAGATATGGGTACCTGCCTGCAACACACGTCTCTGCGCATCGCACAATGAAGCCTCAGATGGCGGAACAACTGTTGAGAGGATACCCTTGATTTATGATATGACACAAGGCGTGTAACTTTGACATCTATGACATTGGAGCCCTATAACTACGCGGCTACGAAGTGAAGATACTTCGATTCACGTTGAGGATTGAAAAGACACTTTACAGCATAGGAATGGAGAGAGAGGCTCGTGTGTATAGCTGGTGTTGACTTTGAGTTCTCATATGTTAGATTGGGCCCAGTGAATATAACGAGATTACTGGGCATTGTGCTACAGAAAACGTTACAACAACCAAGTTAGTTGCGAGGCTCAAACTCAATCACCAAATAGTCTTTTGACAACGGTATCAATGAGGCCAACCCTTAATGCTCATCCAGTGACTCATAGGATTGTTCAGTGTGGTGCTGTGACGAGAATTTGGAGAGTGAATGAATATATGTTTGGCGGCTGAATATCTCCATGTCATGAGCTGTAACTACATCTCCTTCAACCTCACTTCTCTGAACGCCAGTCTTTTGATCTCTCGTCTAGGTTGGTAGGCATATCGGGTAACATGCCAATTGCCCTGATGTTCTCGTACAGACTCAATGCAGCTAGAGTTTTCGCATCCCGAGCACCTTCTCGCCAGAGCATGTGCAACGGAACTAACTTGAGCTTGATTTTCTCTCCCTCTTCCGCGAGACCCGTTGCCTTACCTTTAAGATCTTCCAGATGCTCACGCTTGAGACGCTTCTGACAGAGGTAGAGTGTGATGAACTCGTCGCAAGCACCAGGACTGGGGTACATGGCCTCTTCTAGTGATTCGGCTGCAGGGGGATATTCGGACGATGCTCCTTCTAGCGCAAGCTTCGTCATGTCTAGTAGCTCGCTTTCTTTCAACTCAAGTCCCGTTTCTTCTTTGATCTCCTTCGCGGCTTTTCCAGCGAACGAATCTTGCTGATCATCTAACATTCCTGCAGGTATCTCTGTGAAGGCCAAAGATGAGGCTGCTACCCGAGGCTGAACGGTTAGTATGACTTGTTTCTCATCTTCTCCTTCTGCACCTTCAGGTTGTACAATGAGCTTCCGACCAGTTAGTTGAATTCAAGTGCTTCGGATGACACTAGACTCACGAAGACAGCCACACTACCACCTCGTAAGAACACCGCCCCAGGTGTCCAATTCTTTTCATCATCCGGGTCGTCATTTCTGATCTCACTTTGGAGTTTTACAAACCCCAACTTCCCTTCCTTGAACCAGTCGGCGGCCTCTATATCCAGCTTTCTTAGTCGGTAAGGATTTGAATGGAACGGATGCAGTTCGTCTTCTTGAGCATCAAGGGCATGGAGAAGTTTGACAAACCAGTTTCTCAGGGCTGGGAAGCCAAAGCCTGGCTCTCCGTCCTCGGGAGTGTCAGGAAGAAGCTTTTTGAACTGGTCTGTCGAAAGGTTCCATGGCAGGTAGACTGATACTGGTGGAGTCAGGGTCTTGCCGTTGAACTCATTGATGGTCAGAGCCTTTTCGCGTTCCTTCGCAGGTCGCAGGTTCCTGTGGCAATCGTCTACTTTCATAGTGCTAGACTTGGTCTTTAGTTGAAGTGTGAGGAATTATGTTGGACGGGTGTAAGAAAGACAACGGTGACAGAGTGTTTGTATATTTGAAGCTGAGAGTCATTGACAGCTCTGAGCCATGAGCTGTTGGCACTAGCATTCAACTGATCAAGTACAACGTATTGTGTAACCAGTAAAGACTGTATTACCAAGCATCACAACGAATAAGCGGACAGTCGAGCTTTGCACTCAGAGAAGCTGTCAGTCGAAGTCAATCCTGATCTTAAGGTAAGTCTCACCGCGGGGATGGCTTCGCGCTAGGTCCACTTGCCCCGTTCAGCCCCACCACAGCATCATGCACCTGCAAGGGCCGACCGCGGAACGTGGAGTAGATGCGCGCCACCACCAAACTTCGCGCCACTGTTTACTCTTTCACCACGTCTCAAGCATTGGGCCTTTCTTAGTCTTTGATCCTTACTCTCTGCTTTGGATCTCACATCTTCATCCCAGCTCGGCTCTACACTCCCTAAACATCAGGCCCGCTCATAATGGGGACTTTGACCGCAGACTGCCCACGTCTGGAGACACACTGTCCACACAAGCTTGCCACAAGCTGCCGGTTGACATCAACGCCGAATTGCTGCGCTTGTGCCGACGAGAGAGTGCATTCCAGGACATATCGCGTGTATATTGACGGAGTGGGCTTCGTGAACCAAGGGACAAGATGGCAAGGCTATTGCTGGTTCTGTAAAGGTACGACGCTACGCAATACCACTTCGAATGGCAACATCGTAGACTGATATCGAACCAGAGTTCTGGACCAACCGCCTTGCAGCTACCGACCCTCCCCTCGACATCTCCCAGACACGCATACCAGAGATACCTGACCAGACCGAGTTCCTAGAACGATGGTGGGAGTTTCACCAGGGATATCGCATCGCAAAACTACCGGATGGTACTGAGCAGCGTATGCCTGTAATCGGGGAACCGTTCAGGGAGGTCAGCCCCGGCTTTCTTCCGCGTACGCTAGATCAGTTGAGGGCAGGAGTAGAGAACGATGCCAGTAGACTAGAAAACAGGCTCCAGAGAAGACGATTGTCGTCGGAGGAAGAGCGACCAGAGCAGCCACATCAGAGTCTCGAAGATGCGCTAGACAGTCTTCTACAAGAGGTGGTGGAAGAAGTCTCCAACACGGAGCCCACGGCACCAACGGAACCACGAGCTTCGATAACACCTCAGATACAAGAAGACCCGTCAGAGCCCCCGCGACCAATGACACGACGACAAGCGCAACAACAACGTCGACGAGAGCACTTTGCACGCGTTTTCGGCTCTCGCGAGGACGTAGAGCAGGACGACTACGAGTCACCGCTTACACAGATGTACACACGAGCCTTCGACCGCCAACGTCAGGCCGATCAACGAAGAGCAGACGGCACTGATACCGCGCCTCCGCTCGACGGGCTGTCACCACAAGATCGACGAGAAATTGAAGAACAGTTGTTATGGGGAGTAATGCGAGAGTCACAGTCACTATCAGAGAGTCTAGAGCCAGCGAGTCAAGTCTGGAGTTATGCACCCCGGTGGCAGAGTCTTGGAGAGGACAACTATGCTGAATTGGAAGCGCACGAAGCTCACAGAGCGCAAAACGACCATCTTGCACAGCCCTTGTTAGCCAACCCTGAGCTTGGCTCCAACATCACAACGGCTATCCCTGGATTACTCTCTCAGTTGAACTCCATGGACGTGGCTGACGCACCGAATCCTGAACTAGTGATGAACCAAATGCGTACTCTGCGTCTTGAAAGTCGCTTCGCAGAGGCGCGTGCATTCTTGCGCGCTGCCCGTCCGCCTTCACCTCCGCCCATGTCGCTGGACAACCAGCCCGATCGGCCGGCACCCAAGACAGAAGAAGAGATGACCAAAACCCTCGCGTGCCAGGTGTGCTATCAGCAGATTGCTGATATAGCTGTGCTGCCTTGCGGCCACATGGTTATGTGCCAGTGGTGCGCTGACGTAGTTGTTCCCATCAAGCATGGCCATATTCCTGCGCGGCCGACCAAGTGCCCTATGTGTAGGAAACAGGTGAAGCAGAGGTTCAAGATACATACCGGTTAAAGTGGTTGTACGAACATTATGATATGACGAAAGCAATGATACCGGTATACATTTAGACGTCAGCTGCATAGACAATAGGCAGAAAATATGCCAAATCTAAATTCTAGTCTCTGCCTCGAGGTGTCTACAAAAGCTTGCCTTGACCGCCATTCCCTTGTTCTCTTTTCTTCTAAATCGCGTCTACTCCTCGTTCAACTGACGCCAGTATGGCTTTCAGAGCAGAAGTACTACAGAGTGGTACATTTCGATCTTACTGGACATCGAAGTGCATTACGAGCCAGAGAACGTACGTCACCTACTGCATTACGCGAGCTCTGTTTATGCTGATAACGCCAATGTCTTGTTGGACATCAATCTCACGTCTCTAAGCGTGTTGGCACGGAAGCATCTCCGATTTGTCATCTTCTGGAGTGAGGTTGGATCGGGCGATTCCTAGGATTGGCTTTGTCCGCCCGTTCCTCTGAACAATGTATGTAACGCGCCACTCCAGCGTTCAGAGTGACCTTGATATCAGGGCTGATGAGCAGCGGGTTATGGGGGCTTGAAGAACGAGGCGATGGAGGCGTTGCATGCTTTGCCTGAGAGGTTTTGGGGCCTGTGAGTCTGCGGTCTCACGCTCGTACACATGCTGATAGTCGATATGGAGTGTATGTTGGACCGAGGCATAACGTCAGAGACCGCCGTAGATGGCAAAGGAAGACAATATGAGCACCAGGGTGTTGATGACGGCCCAGACAAAAGGTATCCAGGTAGACATTTCGAAGTATCCCGCCTGATATACACCTCCTAGCCTGATTGCAGTCAGTATGCGACGCGATAGACATGGCAGCAGACCTCGACTCACAGCCCGCCAACGATAGCACCCGCAACAAGTGCTTCAACGCCTCCAACAAAACTGAAGACGGGCAGGGCGATCCATATTAATTTCCAGTTGCGCCATTGGACTACACATGCCCATAGTGCGGTGATGAAGTGTATACCGCCAACCAAGAGCAGTGTCCAGTACACGGTAAAGCGGAGGATATCGTCGGGGCGGTAGAGGTAGAAGGACTGGGTGGTGCCAGCGGGAAGAGGCCAGTAGAGGGATGGGAAGGGCGGCGTGGTGTAGCCGAGCGGGACCGCCGAGTCGACGCGTTGAATGAAGCTGGGAAAGATATCGTTAACTACCATGGCCGAATTGTGGGGAAGAATCGTCTTCAGTCCCATGTGAAGTCTGAGGCCATGGCCAGGGGACGCGAGAAGGATGGATGCAGGGTCCAGCGAGGGCTTACCTCATCTATACGGCATAGCTATAATGCGCTCTGTATACTTCTGCGCGTTACACTAGGGGTCGTAGGATCGTACGATACTAAAGGCCGTTGTTTTGGAAGTTAATGCTTGTGACGTCGATCCCCGAGTGAATGTCAACGGCCAAAGCCCGAGCTTAGCTCAACCTCGGCTGGACGCGAGCCGCAATCAACACCAGCCATCGCATCTCCAACATCTCCATGCGCATCTTCTGGTAGCCTGTCGCGGGCTTTTCGGGTTCAACATGGTCGTCGATCGCCTCTTGTCCACGCTGCTGCGCTCGCTGCAGACATACACAGATCAACAGGACACGCCGCGGTACGCATCGCGAGTCCCTATTCGCATTGCGCCTACTAACTACCACAGCCTACTGGGAACCGCGTCCTCGCTCCTCACCACGCTCGGCAATCCTCACAACCTCAGTCTTCTGACTTCACATCTCCTCACCGCGCCGGCATTATGGGACCGCCCCGATGGTGTCCGAACGCCCCTCCGTATGCTGTCCGTCTTTCACGCGGCCGTCACGACCATCGTCAACCACCACAACGACGTGCGACATAACAAAGCAGCCAAACTCGCGCCAGGGCAGACGCCAATAGGAGGAGGCTTGTCGCTGGACGAATGGGTACGCGCCGTCGTCGCAGGAGCCGACGACCGGAGCCGACGATGGAAGCACTTGGTCGTTCTTACGGGCCTGTTGATAGGTATAGGGAGCCTGGAAGAGCAGGGAATGGACCTCTATTGGGCATCTGCCATGCGAAAGAGAGTGGAAGCGGCATTGGTCCGCGCGACAAACCTCGCTTTGGTCGAAGTCAGAGAACGCTCCGAGGCAGATGGATTAGGAGGCCAGACAATAACACTGACCCTCAACCACGCCTTCGGATGCATCGGCCATGTAGAAAGGACACAGATTGATTACGATCTGCTACTTCCGGTGCTTATCGGGACGGCATTCTACTCCAACGAAGGCTTCCAATCCGCCTATTTCCTCGGGGGCTTGGACCTCGACGTGCGGACAACACAATCAGGGAAGCTAGACTGGAGTGTAAGTGGCCATAGATCATGATACGGACGTCTGCTAACCATGTATAGCCGCATTCGAGTTCCTACAGACAGGTCGAAGTCATCATGAATAGGCCACTGGTATCGTCTATGGGCCCCCTTTCACGCCTCATCGCACACTCTGTCGAGAATGTCAAGAATCCATGGATCATCCAGACGATGATGGACGACCTCGCTAGCTTTTCTCGCGCTCTTACCACGCAATGGCGGCAGACCAAGTTGTCGGATATCGAGCCCTCCGAAGAGGCAGCCAATCTGGAACAAGAGGCGCTTCACAAGACGACTCCGCAACTGTGGAATTTGCTCAAGGCGGCTCTGTTTGCTACTACCATCATACTGCGAGGCGTCTTCACACGAACATTAGCTGATAAAGCATTGGCTGGTGATGCCATCGCCCCTATGCTAGCTTCGCAGGCCTTGCAAACCTTACGGCATCTCTACTTCATCACGTCCCGGCTCGGCCCTGCATCCTTCTCCCAACATACCTTTGTCTACCTTACAGCGATAGACATCCTTTCTGCGTACCCCAGTCACGCCGACAAGCTTCTCAAAACTATCGCGCCTCAACATCTTGGGCAGATACCAAGCCACCCTCTTGACCGTATACTGGACCTCTACTTTCTCAATACAGCAGAACACTTCACTCTCGTACTATCGCCAGCCACAAACGAGGACTTGCTGGTCGCGTCAGCTGTGCCATACCTCGCAGCTGGCGAGAATCGTCATATGTTGCCAGTATTCGAAGCCGCTCACAGCGTCATGCTCGCTGTCTTGTCTGCTCCACAATCTGCTGAGATCACCGCGAAGCACCTCCCTTTCTATATCGATGCGCTGTTCAGTGTCTTTCCACATAACTTGTCACCGCGTCAGTTCCGCCTAGCTTTCAAAACCTTGATGCGTGTCACAGCTCCTCCCTCTACTCTGTCCGCAACCCACCCAGATCTTCCAGCTACTTTATTGGAACTAGTCTTTCACCGTGCGCTCAACGCTCCTACTCAGCCACTGCCGCCTGATTCTGTTGCATTGGCCCTGCAAGGCTCGGACGCACCACCCCCTGCCCTCTCGGAACAGGCAGTGCTCGCGTTAACCCTTATCGATGCCTTGCCCTTTCTCCCTATATATCTGCTTGAAGAGTGGCTGCCTCTATGCGCAGAACTCCTCAACCAAATCAACGACGATGAGATGCGAGAAAACGTCAAAGCGCGGTACTGGGAAGTGCTAATCAGTGGCGAGATGGATGCAGAGCGTAGCGGCGTTGCTGTAAATTGGTGGACAACGAGAGGTGGCAGAGAGCGAGTACTCTATGGAAGAGAAGAGGACTACAACATGATGAGTGGAGCGCTACCTGTTGAAGAACGACATGTGCGGGAGAGTAAGCTGTAGGACTATGATACCCCAGATCCAAATTATGAAAGCCAATCCCACAAACGCCTCTGGAAGCTTCTAAACGTGCCAATGGACAAACTGGTGTATTGCTTCAGACGAAACGACAGGTCGAATCGTATGCAAGCGCCCGTCAAGGTCAGTGCTCTGCTGCATGGCAACAAACAAACGGATGATACCAACCACCTGAGTTGAGCTCTCTCTCCTCCTCGTTCCTTTGTCTGAACACAAACATTGATATGTACTCAATCGAGCAAGATGCATAGCGGCACAAAGGATCGTTACGTATCCAACCACGAGGGCATGCACCAACGCAAGTCTGGTGCACCGAGTCGACCTTCAACTTTTAGTAGCATACCCATTCGAAACGCTGCATCATCTTCAAAATCCTATAATGGCAGTCGAAAACCAAGCCGAAGCTCGTCATCCAATAACACGCCCGCCGAACTTGACACCTCGCTCCCCAAGAACTTTCCAAAGCCATTGACCTGCCACTTTTGGCACCAGAACGGACGGTGCAGCAAGCGAGATGTCGATTGTGCGTACGCTCACTATGACACGGGCTTCATATCTAGCGCGTCTGTCACTCCGCTCGGAGGTATGCATAAGCTTACCCAAACTCCCATAAAGCAACACCTGACTAAGCAAAATAACAGCTTCCGAAGCCTTCGCTGGCAGGAACATCGACAAGTACGCCAAGAAACTAGACATGCCCATGCCATTGCTGGTCGATCTACAGAAGCGGGAGAATATTGTGGCTGGAGGTGAAGCAGAACTGGAAGAGCGCCAGCAGACCCTCGGGCGACAAGAGGACGAGGTTAAAGATTGGGAGAGTACGGTCTTACGACGGGAGATTGAAGTAGATGAGAAGGAGAGGAACGTCGAGAGGACGACGGCGAGCTTGGTGCGTAAGAGGAGAGAACTCAAGATATTGGAGAAGAGCATCAAGAGGAGGGAAGAGGCTTTGAGAGAGAAGATGACTTGAAAAGTGGGTGTAGGTCGAGGTTGAGGCTGGAAGAAGGGATGTGCAGTGTTTCTATAACGAACCTCGTGATGTCACTCTCGGGTCCACGTTTTCTTTATTATACAAGATGATCTACTCTAAAGCTGTTTATATTTATACGGAATCGTGGCGTTTGTGTCATTCAGCGTCTGGCGTGATTGTCTTTAGTCATGCAACTCGACGTTAAGCAGCACGCCCGTTACAGTGTTCTCGCTCTAATGCGCCTCATACCACACAGCTCCATCATCTAGTGTTCGTTTTTCCT